GAAGCACTGAAATGGGTTACCTACAGAGGTGGTGGAATCTCCATCCCTAGAGGTTTTTAAGTCTCAGCTTCACAAAGCCCTGGCTGGGTTGATTTAGTTGGGATTGGTGCTGCTTTGGGCAGGAGGCTGAACTTGATGACCTCCTGTGGTCTCTTCCATCTCTATGATTCTATGAGGAGGAAGGCTCTGCGAGGGAGTTTGGGTGTGGGACAGAGTTCCTGACTGTGGCAGAGCATTGGGGTGAAGAATGAGTGAAAACTCTGGGAGGGAGTTTGCTGCAGCATGGAGCACCCTCCTGCATCCAATCTCGCTTCCCGAGCCCACGCCCCTCCCTCCTGCCTGCATTCCAATAGTTTGGGAAGGAGTTCAGGTGCAGTAGGAGGCTCCAGGCTGAGAATCCATTGGGTACAGGACTCTGGGCCTGGGAGAAATACATTCAGATTGCTGCAGCAAATAAAAGTGGGAGTGGTAACACAACGTCTCAGCTGACACATCAACACCAAAGTTTAGATACTGTTGGCTGTGATGGTGATTGTAGAGCAGCTGGGTTCCCTTTTTGTCAGTGTCAGGGCTATTTCCCACTCTAGCACTGAGTGCAGAAGGTGGTGGGGCCCACAAAAGACCTTAAATACCTTGCCTCTATAGGCTCTGCTTATTAAAAAAAAACTCCCCAGAGTCAGAGATGCACTGGCTCTGGAAGATAGGCTGCCACCATCAAGTGATTTTAAAGAACCATGAAATATCAGGACGGAACACTTGGGGCACGCCTAGATTGCCTGCGGCTTTCGGAAGATATGCAAATTTGGTGCAAATTTGCATATCTTTTCGAAAGCCATGGGCATAGACATGCCCTTCAATTCCTTCCCTGGGGGTACCCCAAGCTCTTTCACCACAAGAGAGCTTGAAAAAAGAAAGAACACACACAAAACAAACTGCGTCTGTGATAGCTGACCTCTCAAGCTAGGCAGACACACACACACACAGACCTTCCTGTAACCTCCCAGGACACACAAAAAAAAATATCAAATGATCACCTTCAAAACGTGATTTTATTAACAAAACAAAAAGATATATTTGATAAAGCATACTTAATTGTTAGGTGTTACAGAGCAACTAAGAAAAGAACAGATCAAAACACAAAGAACCGTAGCCCTTTGGCTGTAGCTTGAATAATGTGGGTGGGGGGAGGGAAGGCATAGATTCACACACAAAAAGTGTAACTAGACAGCAAATAAAGAAAATATACATTTTCCCTCTACTCACGATGCATACTGATCCGTACCTCAAGGTCCAGATCAGAATCATGCCAATATTTTTTGGGCATGGTAATTCTGATTGATTATTTCATCCTGTTCCTACAGCTGCTAACTTAGAATCAACACACAAAGAGTGCAGGCAAGGTATCTATATACAATTCAAATTTCAACAGTCTTCCCATTGGCTTTCCACCAACATCCCTTTTGCTATCTGAGTTTAACACTTGAGTCACCATCTGCTGGCCAGCACTCCTCCTATCCATCACAGCCATTTTTCATCATTTTGCCTTTGGGGTGCATAATGTCTTTGGGGTGGAGGAAATTGAACAGGCAGAATCTCTGGCCATCTAAGACTTATTGTATCTCCTTATTTGTGAAGATGAGTAAATTCCCAGGGAACACAACATTCTTCCAGAATTTTAACATGTGATATTTGTTAGTTCTCCCTGCAAATACTCTGGTTCCCTCGAATGGAAGGTCTTCTGCTGTGGGGTTGTACCTGCTTTGACAAGAGAAAGGTGAAGCCAGGCAGCTCTCCGCGTAGCCTTTGTTGCTGAGATAGAGCAAGAAGCAGCTGTATAAGCAGGGTCTAGAAAGGCCTTCAACTACGTATTCATGAGGAACTGACCCTTTGCAAGGATTTCTCAAAACTGTTCTCTGATCAGCTGGGAGATGTTTGATGAAGGCATTTAACCTATAGTAGTCGGTATAATTGTATTTTGCCATAAGGGCGTGGTAATTAGCAATCCTAAATTGTAGTGTCACTGATGAATATGACTTTTGCCCAAATAAACGCAGTTGTTTCCAGAGGGCGTGGTAATTAGCAATCCTAAATTGCAGTGTCACTGATGAATATGATTTTTGCCCAAATAAACGAAGTTGTTTCCAACCCTTGTCAAATGGTGTCAATTTAGCAAGGTGCTGTCTTCACATTTATTTATAAGGTAGACAAAAACAGGATTCAGGAATGGGTGAGAAAATAAAAAGTCAATGTCCTTAAAGGGAACATAATATGCTCTCTTGCATGTAGGAGATGTTGTGGCTGGTGTCTCCCATATAGTCTTTCCTTGGTCAAGCAGGGCCTTGTTGACAAGGAAGGCAATGCAATCTGATGAAGTATGGAAGATGTCTAGTAGCTTGTGTTTTGACTCCATCACTTCAAGCAGTATTTGAAGCACATCCACTACTCTTTGTTACAGATGTTAAAAATGTTCATAATTAAGTAACTGTGTAACAGCTGAAAAATTTCAGCAGTTACACGCAGGGCAGGAGTTGGTTCTCCAGGAGTGGGTGCACATAGGGATATGTAACAGCTCCTGCATGGCCTCCCACACTGCTGCCTCAGAGTGAGAGGCAGCAGCATGGGGCAGCACACAGTTCCATGGGAGCCAATGCGCACGGGAAACCTACTTGTACCCCTGAACATTAACCAATAAGCCCAGGCTCATCAGTTAACGGCCCCTGAACATTAACCAATAAGCCCAGGCTCCTCAGTTAACTGTTTTACTCAGGGCTACTCAACTCTGGAAGCCCTGGAGGCCAGTGATACTCACAGCACATGCAGAGGGCTGCAACTTAAGTGTGGTTACTATGACAGAGCAGGTTAAAGGACTTGGGGGAAGGGGAGAGAGGCTGCTCTAGCAGAGGAAACAGCAGCAATCCTGGCTAATTAGGGGCAGCTGAGAAAGGACAGCTGCAAATCAATTAAGGGCCAGGTGAAGCTGATTGGGGCTGCCATGAGGCCTCTTTAAAAACCCTCCCTGAGGGAGAGGAGGGAGAGAGAGGAGGAGCGTGGAGACAGGAAAACAACCCAGTGTTAAGGAGACTCAGAATGGAGGAGCAGGAGGAACCACCAGCCCTGCTAAAGGCTACAGGGGGAAGTGAGTTGAGCAGGAGGTGTTGGAGGGCCCCCTGCCCCCCTCCCCGCTTCGGGGCAAGAAGAGGACTTTCTGGTCAGCCGTGACTGGCCCAGGGCTTCAGCCCAATATAACATCCTTTATGTTAAGGGCCAGGAAGGCCCAGGGACAAAAACTCTGCAGGTGAAGGTTCTGCTGCAGCCCTGAAAGTGTAGGAAAGTGGACAGAACAGTGGTCAGGGTCTCAGGAGGGAGACTGACCCTGCCACATTGCATATACATGCAAATATATATGAAAATAGCTTATTTCATACTGATGTGAATAAAATGCACTTCCCAGAATGCCCCAGTGCTCCCAGCACCTTCTCCCTGGGGCCTAGAAACACCAACACCTTGTACCCATCCGCTCCAGCCAGCCTGTCCGCTTGCATCTTCCAGTGCTCACTCAGCCTGGGAGACACCTCGCCATTGTGGAGTGTGTTCCCAGTGGAGGCCATGTTCAAAGGATCACACCAGCGGGCCACATGTTGAGTTCCATATAAACCCACATCGCACCATGGGCCGCAAACAAATGGGCCACATCTTAAGTAGCCCTGGCTTACACGCTTACACTTTCCCATCTCTACTGTTAATAAGATCTTGAAACTGAAGCTGTCTGCCAGAATTGGTGGGGGAGGCATAACAGCTTCATCAAGAGAGGATGAGGAGTTGTTGGTCATCATGAGTAGCCTCCTTGTCTAGTCTCTCTTCCTGTTCCTCAAATAACTCCTCTTGAGAATCAAAGGATCCAGATAACTAAGCTAAGGTAGACTTTGGTCCTCTATCCTTTTGGGCGACACTGTAGGTCTTTGAGATTTAGTGACTACAGGTTGCCCGTATGTCCCAGTACTGTCACTGAGCTGGTGCAAGGTTGTCCACACCAAGCGGGTGGACTATGTCTCTCATGATGGTAAACTGGAGCCGTAACTGTTTCAAGGTAACAGTTCTGTGATATTGTAATGAGAAGTCTTCCACAGACACAACGTAAATCATGATCTGCTTTCTCTTCATCACCGTTTGTTCAGTCATGTATGCATCATTATCTTCAATCAAGGCAATCTCCGCCAGTGTCCTTGACTGCTCCACCTTTGTCAATCTGCTTGAACTGATTAGTGAACTCATTTTTGTACCATTCTAATGCTAGTTTTACTACGCTGGTAAATTGCAGAGTTGTAGTAATCATGTTGGTCCCAGGATATTAGGAAGACAATGTGTGTAGCCCTGAAATTGGTTCAATCAAAGATTACTTCACACACCTTGTCTTTCTTTACTAGAGAAGGATAAAAGTAGTTAAACTAAAGGGTAATGTAGAAGATGCGCTAAATACACTGAAACCTAACTCCATAGTCTTGAACAAATTGCAAAAAGATTGCTGTAGCATTGCTGATGCTGTTGAAATTTGGAATAAAAACTTCGAGACACTTTTCTTGGAATTAAAGGCACTAGAAAACTGACAAGTGTTGTTACATAAGTAAACTCATCAAGGCATAATCAAGGGGAAAAAAGTGAAAAAACTGAACATGTAAAGGAAAAACTGTCTACAAGTTTTTAGGATGACAAGCGGGCGGTCTTCGTCAGGCGTGCAGGTCAGAATAAAAGTGCTAAAACATCCTGTAATTGTCAGCACAGCCTCTCTTTGGATGCATGCTGCAAATTCCAGACCATAATGTGTGAAACAAAGGCGGCAATAGAAGCAAATATGTTCAGTCACCTGACAAACTATAAAGAGGAGATGTACAGAGGATTTCATGGACGGAAAAGTAATTAGTTTATATGCCAACTTTATAATACTGATGTCAGAAGAGATCAAAATAGAGAATATGTATATTGACATAAAGAAAGTAACATACCTTTATTAGTGACTGGAGTTGAAAGACTTTTTACCATGAGTTCTCCTTGCAACATCCAAGATGGAAGTATCCTTTTCCTCCATTCAGGCTCTCTCTCCTCACTTTCATTATAATTAGCAGAAAAAAGCTGAAATAATATTAATTGATTAGTAGCACAATACTTTTTTCTAGAATTAGGATACAGAAACTAGAAAATTAAAGAGTCTGTTCAAATGACATTATAAGCAACTTTAGCTCTGAGAATAACCTGGATGGATTTTCTTAACTGAAACAAAAGTCAGTCATCATGCTGAATATTTTGACACCTCCTACTCTCTCAGGGTATGTCTACCCTTGCACCCTCTTTCGAGAGAGGGATGCAAATGCAGCTGAGCAAAATTGCAAATGAAGCACACATCTGAATTTCCCGCGCTTCATTTGCATATTCTCATTATGCGCTATTTCAAAATAGCGCTATTTTGAAATAATAAACGCTGTTAAGATGTGATATTTCGAGAGAAAACCCTTCTCTTGAAATAACTGATAAACCTCATTGTATGAGGAATAAGGGTTATTTCGATAGAAGGGTTTTCTCTCTAAATAACTGCGTCTTAACAGCATCTGTTATTTTGAAATAGCGCTATTTTGAAGTAGCGCCATCAGGCAAATATGCAAATAAAGCATGGGATATTTAAATCCCCGCTTCATTTGCAATTTCGAATGTCTTCATTTGCATCCCTCTCTCGAAAGAGGGTGCAAGTATAGACATACCCCCAGCCAACCAGTATTTAAAGAAACCTATCTTTACTCCCACTTATAACCAACTCTAACTTTCAAAAGAAAGCTAAAGTTCATTTACAGATCAAAAGGTTCATAAAAATCTCACGGAAAATTGAAGCTACATGGCTTGTGTCCACTGAAACATCAGAAAGGCTGGAGGCAATGAGTAAGGAATACTGAATTACTAGGTAGAATGGGAAATGCAAAGAAAAAAAAGTTCATTTTTCAAGTGGACCTCTCACTCCCTGTTAAGTTATTCTCAGAAAATAATCAGAGAATCAGATGGGGCTAGAGAAACAGGAAAAAAAATACAAACCCTGATTAGGACATGATGATCATTAACTGGCTCTGGAATATATATTTTGGAATTCTTGTTAGCATGACGAAGGCTAACATTTCAACTGCACTTATAAAGAAAAATATTAGCTATAGTATGTTTTCAAAGAGCAGTTACTATACATGTTTGCCTTTGCATAATATTAGTTTTTCCATTGGTAGATCAACAATAGCAAAACAAAGTACAATAAAATTGGCCTCACAATAGCATTTATACTATCTGAAAGCCATTTTACTTAACCTCAGTAAGACAAAACATCAGCTTTTTGAAAATTCTGTTCTGTTTGCAAATTCTGATCCAAGTCTAACACCTACATAAGAAAAAGTTAACGTTACAAAAGTAGAGTAATATAAGCCTTTTTTCTGTATTCTGGCTGACCCTGAATACACAACTCAAAAGTTATAACCAAATGGAGGAAGCTGTGTGAACAGTACATGTAGGTTTTACTCCATGGCCTAACCCCATAACAGCATGTCCAGTTTAGCTTCAGAGTACATGAGGGGTGTGAACTTCAATGGCTTTTCAGCTAGGTACAAGCACTGGGTTGTGTCATACCTTCCCCTAGGGCAAGGGTTTTCAAACTTGGGTCACAGACCTGCCAGAGAAATCCCCTGGCGGGACCACAACACTGTTTACTCTCAAGCTCTGCAGCCACGGAGCCTTGCAGCTCCTATTGACTACAGTTTGCCATTTCAAGCCAAGGGGAGCTACTGGAAGTGGCACCAACCCCTGCCCTAGGGGCAGGTTGCTGTTCTAAACTTAGTTTTTTCCCTTTGTGTACCCTGCTGCTTTGGAACCCCACAGAACCTAAAAGGACATAAGCAGAAATTCATGTTTGTTCCTCCCACAAAATACAAATTTTATTTCTACTCTCACTCACTAACAAAGCCATTCTTAGTTCTGGAGAAATCTTTTACAGCATTACATATACTTATAGTGCTGCAAATATAAAGAAAAGCTCAGTCATGTAAGCTTAAGGCATTTGAGCTAATTTTTTGGAAATATTATATATAGTAAATGAAATAAAGATATATATTCCCAAGCAAGCTCTTGATCTACCAGAGCCTACTCCCTCATAAACAGCTTTAAATAGATGTAGAGACAAAAACTATTTTTATTTTACCCAGTTTTCAGCCCACTTTTCAAAAAATACAGACATGTTGCAATATTTCATCAAATATGAACACCCACCGAACTTTTGGATGAGGTCTTTTTTGGAGTTTCTGCTGTCCTTTCCAAAAGAGAATGCACTTTCACATTATTATTGGAACATGATGTTGATTGTACTGAAGATGGATCACAAGACATCTTGGTAAGGTGGCTCACTGAAGCGGATTTATTTGCTGTTTCATCTACAATTTTCCTATTTTTCCTAAAGTATATTAAAAATGCATCTTTTAGTGGAGAAAAAAAATCTCAAGATCTTTCTTTATCTATTTGAACTAAACTCAAGTTTATGTGCACTTTAAATGTGTATTTTCACGCAAATGCCATAGTGTAGAAGCAAGTCTCAGAGTTTAAGATATTAAGAGACCAAAAGAAAAAAAGACCCCTCCTTCTGCAGTACATATACTTACACATATTAGTGGTGCTAGAATAGCTCTTACATCTGTTGGCAATTTTTTTGTTTTACCATGATGTATCTAGGGAACAAACTACATGGCTGCCTAAAAGTAACCAAAATCATCAGTCAGGATGGCTGAAAAATCAAAGATTAAGGGTACGAACATAAAAAACACTAGTAATGACAAGGTCAAATTAGATTATTATTACTGACCATAAAGTATCTTGTGCCTTCCTTTAACTGTAGGAACTACAAACTTACAATACTATTACTGTGTTATTGAAAAAGATCATCTTTACTATAAAATGAATACTGTTTTTGAAATGTGTTATTCAAATTCTGTAAGATACAGATATTATGGTAATGATCAGCAGCATGAAATCCTAATTTAGAACAGGCAGAAAAACAAGCTTTCATTCCCAGCTCTCATATCTCAAACAAACATTTATTTACCATTTCCTGTAGCAGCAGCTCATTTTTCATTCGGTGATATACACTAGCTTACTTCCAAGTAAAGTGTACAGATTGTTATTTACTATACATTTGAGAGAGTTTGTCTGTCTGCACATCTGTCTGTTCAAGGACTCCTCCTAAACAGTAAGAGCTAGGACCACCAAACTGGGTATACAGCTTCCTCTTGTAACTCAAAGCAAGGTAAGGGTTTGGTTGTGCCAGGAAAATGGGATGTATCTGGATGGAATTACTTCTCATAAAACCATACCAAGAAGAGACAGAATCACCAAGTAGGTGAAAGGGGCTGGCTGTTTTTCATCAAGGAGTGAGGGGAAAGTGCACAGTTTGCTGAATTCCCTCACTCTGGCTGGGAAGTGCAAGTCAAAGATGAACCTAGACCTGCCCCAGCTGGAACCCACTCTTCCCCACATACCCCTCCCCCAGCTGTGCCCACTGAATCTGCAATGGCCATGGAGAGGAACTTCTCAGCTGGCCCCAAGCTGCTGCAGTGAGAAATGAATTGAGTTAAGGACCCAAGCAATGCCGCGAAAATCATCTACTTGCTTTATAAATTAGAAATAGTTCATATACAAATAAAATAGATGAAATGCACATCTTTATTTAGAACCTAGTTCAGCAGAGTTCTTGAGCAAACATCTAACTTCTCCTGCCATCCCCCCCCCCCCCCCACAAAATAGCAGGTAATGGATAAACGTTACGCTGGATTGAAATTTGACACGTTTATTTATGTTTTTCAAACCTTACATAGGATTTTGCTTTTTTTTTTTTTTAAATTACAAATCTTGTTGACTATTCCTGTGAGGCTTGTGGATAACCATAGTACCCCTGGGAAAAGTAGGAGTCAGTGCACTTATAAGCTTCAGAATTTTTTTTTCCTAGGAGTTAAAAATATGATTAAGGATCTTCAACTGCACTTTAACATTTGCCCATCCACTAACTCTCTCCTCTCCACCACTTGGAAAATGTGTAGCATCAAAGAAAATACACAAATTAAAAGTGTAAAGTATGCATTATTTTTGGTTAGTATAGGAACCATTTGAATTGCAATGCCTACTGGTAGAGCCCTGCACAAATACAAAATTAGTATCCACATCTGCAAGAGTGATTCGTGGATATCGGCATCCACAACCACGGATACCCTTGGATATCAAGTAGATATCCACAGGTTTGCAGGGCTCTATTAGCAATGTTAATGTTTCAGTCTTTCAAAACAATTCTCCCAAGAATGGTGTTCATGGTCATTTTTCTGTTCCTCCAACAATAAATATTTTGGTAACTCACCAGAAAAAAAAATTATACCTAATGGAGTACATGTAAATAGTTTTAAAAATAAGATTCTTGCTTATAGATCAGCATGTGTGGAAGTAGAATCCTTTTATTGGTTGTTAATTAAAGCTTCCCTTTTTAAACAAAAAGGCATTAAATGTCGCACAATCTATTGAAGAGAAAGCAACGTTCAGTTTTCCCACAATTTCTAAAACATGTGTTTTCAATGGCATTTGGGAGACATGCCTTTGAAAATCTCTCCCATGAGATACAAAAGTACTTTTGAGTCTATTTAGTAAAACCCTGACAGATAAGAATGATAAAGCACTTACAAGTTTATCATTCCCCTCTCCTTCTCTGCCAGATGCTACAATAATCCACTCACTGGGCTTCAGAATTGGGAGTGCAGAGTATATCAGAATGCACTGATCTAGTTACTTCATACTGTCCCTCTTCTCAATCTTCTTAGTAAAAAGTGACAACCATTTAAACTTGACTTTAAGCAGATGTTTATTTGGATTTTTTCCAGTCAGGATCACGTTATTACAAATAACATTAAAAATGTTTTTCCAAACTGGTGTTATTACCTTAATGTGTTTTCCACATCTGAGTGAGTAGAGATGATCTTGAAAGTGTACTTATCTATTAAAAGGGAAAAGCTGTCACCTGGGCTCAAAGAATGCCATTCATCTGTTTCCAATGGTAATAGACAGTTGTTCTCAGGTGATTGATAAAAACAAGGATTTACGTGAATCTGTCAATTTAAAAAAAGAACATTGGTACACACCACATGCTATATTATAGAAATCACAGTGGCTTACATTCCACAGTGAAGCATTAACTCAGTTACTAACACAATTTCACATATTGATGTAACCTATGAATAGATGTTATTATGTTAAACACAAATAAAGTACAGTACTAGAAAAAATTCTCATTTAAAGATAACCTGTTTGTATTGATAGTATGCATGTATTGGTAGCTGCGAAATAGGATTTATAAGGCTGAGTTGGTATATCCACATTGTTTGTTTCATGAAGTTCAAATAATTCCTGTACAACTTTACATCAAAGGTCTAAGTAAGATTTAATTCTGAGGAAAATGTTGAAAAAGCAACCCACAAATAAGCATTCTACCCTTTTTTAAGTAACGCGTTTGACAAATTAGACCTTATAGACAAGACCAGAGCAACACATAGGCAAACTAGGCATGTGCCTAACAGGACTTCAATTCAGGGCAGAATGACAAACATTTTGTTTTGGCCAATGCAGAATTATGCGTGAACTGAAAGAATTTCACTTACTTGAGAGGCATTGTGAGCCTGTGCGCTAGGTTAATGACAAAATTTATTAACCTCAAGTTTTTCAGTTTACCAACAAGCCTGCACCAGTGATTGACTGGTAAAAGATAGTCCTCACACTTCCACCATACAACGTAAGGATGTTAAGTAACAGTTAATTTACTACTCAAGTAGTGGATGGAATGTCCATTGACTATTCAACTAGTCAATGTACATTTCAAAGGAGGAATGCATTTCAAAGGAGGAAGAGCCAGCTGGGGCTCTTGTACATTTCAAAGGAGGATGCAGAACCCTAGGTGCAGCCCGGGGCCAGCGGGAAGTCCCACTGACTCTGGGCTACATGCGGGGTACCAGCTTTGAAATGTACAAGAAAGGTACTCAGAGTCCCCCGCTGACCAAAGGCTCCAAGCTGCACTGCCAATTTGAAATGCCACGTGGAGCCAGGGTCAGCTGGGGTAGAAATGCCCACTGGAACCTGGGATCAGCTGGGGAGTCCCCAGCTGTCCCTGGGCTCCACACTCAGTATCCCCTTTGCTGCCTCTAATAGAGGCAGCGGGGGAGGGGGGGAATCGACTAGTCGACTGCCTAGCTGATAAGCATTTGCTTATCAGTCGACTAGACCTTAACATCCTTAATGCAATGGAGACTCACTTTTCAATCCTGAACATAACCAAAGAAAGAAGGGTGGCAGTAAAGAGTGGCTTCCTACTCCAACAATAAGTATGCAGCCTAGGATGAGAACATCACTGAAGTATATTCTACCCTTCCTTCCATCTCTATGCTTGCATTTCTCCTTGTTTTATGACTATTATACTTAACAGTGCCTCCTTTGGGAGAAGCAAAGATTTTTTTTTTAAAAAGAAGAACCAGAGACTGTTACACAGATTGGAAGGCAGAATCCAAAAAAGGCTGGTTTCCCCAGGACCCAGGGACGGGTTAATCTAGTTCTGCTTGTAGACTAACTTTTAATTGAGCTCTTTAGTCTCCACATTCAATCTTCAAAACTACCCACCTTTGTGACTATTTAATAAATTTCAGGCACAGGATATAGTAGATCTACTATATATTTGAGAGAGTTTATCAATTTGTTAAAGAACTCTTCAAATGGTAAGAGCCAGGATCACCAAATTCAGTACAGGCAGTCCCTGGGTTACATACAAGATAGGGACTGTAGGTTTGTTCTTAAGTTGAATCTGTATGTAAGTTGGAACTGGCGTCCAGATTCAGCCGCTGCTGAAACTGACCAGCGGCTAGATCTACTATATATTTGAGAGAGTTTATCAATTTGTTAAAGAACTCTTCAAATGGTAAGAGCCAGGATCACCAAATTCAGTACAGGCAGTCCCTGGGTTACATACAAGATAGGGACTGTAGGTTTGTTCTTAAGTTGAATCTGTATGTAAGTTGGAACTGGCGTCCAGATTCAGCCGCTGCTGAAACTGACCAGCGGC